TAGTAGTAGTAGTAGTATTATGTATATTCTACTGCACCACAGTAACATACTTCTGACAATTTCTTCAAGTTAAACCCAACTTTGATTTTGACGGGTTGCCATGAGGACCTTTCAAGTTTCTGAGGTTTTTTTAGCTCAACCATCACGAAATGGAGCGCACAGGATTGTGGGATATCACAAGGCAGCGAAGGAGTTAATTTAATTTTATATATAACTCAGGGTTGCAATATCGGTATCTGTGTAGCGGATGGGAAAAGGAAAAAGTGGTATTGATCCATCCCAACAAAAAGTATAAAATTCACTCAAAATTTGTGTGCGCTGTGTATTTTTTATGCTTAGAATATTGTGACGTCAGCTTAGCAACAAACTCTATCAGAATCAATTAGTGCACTTCACATTAGGGCTGCTATTTGTATGATACATGGGGCTCCTGTCTAAGCAGAGCGTTCCAAATCAGTCACTTATGAGTGTGAAATAAATTCTCTGCTTTTTTCCCCCCTGCTGCCACTTACACAACACAAAAGAAATAGCTTTTATTCTTAAGACAAAACTGAGATCGGAAAGATCATGACAACACAGAACTCTACAAGAGCGAAGGCCTACAGAAGTTCCCCCACAGGAAGTACCTGAAAAGTGTGTTCTGAAGACTCTGACAGCTCGTGTACTGCTTTACCGGCAGCTGAAGTCAGCGGTATTACCTGGAAGCATGTTTTATAAGAAAGAGTGAATGCTTGCCTAATACTAAGAGCTTTTAGGTATGAGAGCAATTAGAGAGAGAGAGAGAGAGAGAGAGAGAGAGAGAGAGAGAGAGAGAGAGAAGGTTCATTCTTACCTGCGCTGGTGTTGAGAGATCGATACATGAATCAATGTATGACACTACACTGTATGACACTTACATACGACTAAAACAATTGTTTTAATCAACAAATAAATCTAGTCCTGAATGTCCTAAAGGTAATGTCGGCTTTAACTTTCTTCCTTGGCTAATCTTCATACTCTATAGGGCAGTCTTGCATATCTGTCAGGGGATGTTATGCCAGCATAATCATATCTCAAAAAAGGGCAAAACAGAAGCGGTTACACATTCTTACCAGTAGATGGGGCATACTCTGACCTCATGTTGTACAATGAGCGAATTCATCTAAAACACTTTCAGATGTTAAGACTCCTAATCCTAAAACTTAGAATGTCAAAATACATCATATGGCACAAAGTAATTATTAACGGTTACTTTGCAGGACTTGGACCTGGCTTTTGCTGTGAATGACAGTGTGATGCATTCAGTGTTTTGTTAGTTGAGCTAATTGAGTGGATTTCACGCAACACGTCGGTCATATTTCATTTTTAAATAATAATAATAATATTAAGTTATATTACTTTTTTTTCAAAATGTTAGAAACATTAAGATGTTTGCATTTTGACATTTTAATGGATATTAAGTATGTTTCTTTCTTCCATTCTCATTACCAAAAAACGACTTTTTTTTATTTGTATTACAGTTATATTACTGAATCGTGGCATTGTATTGCGGCAATTAATCTCATAATAATGGGAATACATTTTTTTACATTTATTTCTGTGATCAAAGCTGAATTTTCAACATCATTACTCCAGTCTTCAGTCACATGACCCTTCAGAAATCATTCTAATATAAAAAAATGTTTTTTTATAAATCAATCTTTTGATCAATTTAATGTTTGTTTGCTGAATAAAAGTTCTTTTAATTATTGACCACAAACGTTTGAACAGTAGTGCAATTTGTATTTATATTTCATTTTGATTAAAAAAAAACTGAATGATGTTTAAACTCTTAAACAATATTTAAATTAATATTAATTTATATAATTAAAATATATATAAAAAAAACAGTCATGAGAAAAAAACTAACTGTGCTACAGACATTAATGCACACTTGCACTGATTAAAAATTTATGAGGTGTACCAAACAATATATACAAATAAATCTAGCTGCACTGTGCAACAAAATAAACAAAGCAACAACAATTGCTAGGTGAACCATTTTTAAATACTTTCATGGCACTTGTGGGGGAACAAAGGCAGATGCATGGCATATTTCAGTAATTCCTGAACAGGAATGCTGTCTTGAGGAAATCACTCAACACGTTATCTGAACAACTGCCTGTCAGATGACCAAGAACACTCATGCCCCTATACATAAAGATGCATAATGTGAAAACTATGTCTTTAGAGTCATAAATGGGGTGTGATGGCTGTCTCTGTCTTTTGAAAGAGCAATAAAGAAAAACATTTATGGGAAAAAAATGTTTTAACCACATAGTGGAGCAACCTTATCTCTAGAAGTAAAAGATAGGGGAAGGTCTACTGTTTGCTATGTGACAGGCCTTCACTATCACAAGCCCCCCCTTGCATATCAGCTACAAAAGGTGTCACCAGTGACAAGCGTCTCACCCCGGGCCGGGCGACTGAATCTGGCACGTAGGCGGAATCGCACTGAGATCCAGGCCTCGAGTTTACGACCACTGCCTGCTCAGTCTGTACTTTGACTAGCACCAAGTTAAAGCCACAGAGTGATCTGAAGCACTTGACAGTTCACCATTTCCTCTCGAACATGGCAACAAGCTGATATATTGTGTACAACTTGCAACTCTGGAACTGAAAATCGAGCATCTAAGAGGAAGCCAAGCAGCGACACTTCTCAACTGAAACTGTGTCACCAGATATGCACTGTCGCTATTCAGTTGCGAAAGCATTTTATAGTTACGGTCTTTTCTGGCATTCTTGTAACATCCGGAAACAAACAAGAAGCATTTTTGTTTGCATGCTTGTTTTTAGGGTTCTGACAGATTGTCATAGCAGTACATATAACCATATCTTTAAAAAAATAATAAAAATTCGCACTCCACATTAAAAACAACTACTTTTCAAAAAATGTGGGGTTAGTAATATTTACTTTTTATATATTTTTTAAGAAATAATTTTTCAGCAAGGATGCATTAAATTGATCAAAAGTGACACAGATATTTACAATGTTACAAATCTTTTTTTTTCCTTTTTATTCATCAAAGAATAAGGGGGAAAAAAGTATCACATTTTCTTATAATAAGAAATGTTTCTTGAGCAGCAAATCAGCATATTAGAATGATTTCTGAAGGATCATGTGACACTGAAGACTGGAGTAACACATTTGTGTATACTGAAAATTCAGCTTTAAAATCACAGGAATAAATTACATTTTAAATAGAAAACAGTTATTTTAAATTGTAATATTCCACAATATTACTGTTACTGTGTTTTGATCAAATAAATGCAGCCTTGGTGAGCAGAAGAGACTTATTCAAGAACATTAAAAAAAATTAAAAATTTTAAAAACCCCAAACATTTGAACAGTAGTATATATTTAACTAAATAACTGACTTCATTACCAATAAATAAAAATCCTACATAACTAATCAATTTTTGAGGAAACCCTGACAAGTGCGTCACAAGACTTGGTACCTCACCAGTCAAAAGGTCTGGACACACATTAAATTTGGTTTTTGGATTCGTATTTCATATTATTTTAATAGCATGAAGTTGGTTAAGAAAATGAACAAAGCAGGAAACCACATTATATGCGGTTTAGTGTGTTTAACATTTCTGTTCATTAAATAACTCTCATAATTCCATTGTTTCAATGGCTTTACTTATACTAAAATGTAAAAATAAAGAGTAAAAAAGTGTGGGTGTGTCCAAACATTTGACTGGTAACGAAATGGCAAGAAATGTCACGTCCCTAATGAGAACAACCAAACATTCATCACATGCCACTGCATTCCTCACAAAACAACCACAGCAGGCATGCACACAGATCTGCACATTAATGCAAAGAACACTTTGTGGAAAATCACCACGATGAAGCAGTAAATGACTATTAAGCCATTGAATCTTATAGCACGATTTAAACTCCATGCTACATTTCTGTTCATCTACATTTGCTGACACTTCTCCCATTAAATATAAATATATATCCAATTAATAAAAACAATCCTTGAAATCTTACCTGAGCCTATGTGTATGCTTTAAAAAAAAATAGTCTGGAACTAAACTAAATCAAGACAACAGAACAGCAGGGTTCCCACACATTTTGACCAAATTCCATCATGATCACTGGTAAATTAATTAACTTATTTATTTTATAGGGATGACACTCACACAGATCAAATTCTAGTTAATAAAGTATCGAGCGTACCTTAAAAAAATCCACTAAACAATCATTTCAACGAGTTTTCTATGCCTGAAAACCCGTTTTAATATTCCTTGATATTGCCAGGTCTTCCATGACCGTGGGAACCCTGCATGAGAGTGAAAGTTCAGGCAATCAAATCCCTTAAATCATTCATAGCATCAATGGCACCTCACCTGTCCTCCTCCCCATCAATGGGAATGGGTATTCCGAAAAGACTGTTGACAACCGGATTGGGAAACTGCAGGCCTTCTGTGATTAAGGGCTTGACCATGTCTTTACTGTGAACCTGCGCAGACGCATCAGACATCCTCTGACTCTCATCCGTCTGACTGAAGACGCTGGTGCCCGTGCCCGCTGCCGCCCCACTGCGGGGAAACTGGGATGCATGGCTGTGTGTAGAGGTATTGGGTACCGTAGCAGATCCTGGCACAGCAGTGAGCATGCCACCAACTGCTACGGGCAAGCTCAGAGTGCTTTGTGGAGTTGTCGATAAACCATGCATTACTCCTGAGGCCTGGTATTGTGCCACCGTTTGCTGCTGAATGGACACCATAGGGACGATGCTGCTCAACAGCCCCACCGCAGGATGCTGCACCAGATTTGGGACAGATGCCACCGGCTGGCTCCCTAAGGGAACACCTCCAGGGACTCCAGACATTTCTACTGTACCCAGGACTTGCACCCCTCCTGTGGCCGGGGTCGGAAGGGGGGACGACCCCTGACTGAAGGCATGTCCGACGGAAAGGCTCACCCCAGGGAGAGTCTGGGTGACTGTAATCGGCATGTTGTGCAGGCCGTAATCAGGCTGACTTGTTGATATCAGAGCTGGCTGGCTTTGCAGTTGGTGCGTAATAGGCTGGGGTTGATAAAGCAGCGGCTGCACTTGAGGAGGAGGGATGCTGGGAGACTTCTGAAGGTGGGTGCCAGGGTGTCCTCCATCGTGGAGACCGTGAGGGACAGCGACATGAGAGCTGCCCGGAACTGGCTTATTACTAAAGGACTCAGGTGACCCATGCATGTGCAGTTCTAGATTATGTGGCGGGCCGGTGAAAGACGACCCGTCGGAACTTACATCAAGCGCCACCTGAGCCATAACGGACCCGACGGTGGCCCCGAGCCCACTGTCTCTATCCGCTCCAGGCTCTGTCACATTGGTGTGCCTTATACTATCCACAGTCCTGCTCATCACAGAGCCCTCGGGGTCCTTCTCGTAATACTCCATACAGGTCCACCGGCCCCTCCTGAAAGGCTCTCCGGTGCCGTGGTCAAGCTTAATGACCCTGAAGCGAGAACTGCAGCTGGTTACAGTCGTCGCGCTTGATGAACTGATGACTTGCGCCGCTTGAGTCCCAGAGGCCTGGATGCCCTGGTGACCCAGGTTGCGTGGGCTAAACCCGCCGTTCAGAGGGGCGCCAGCGGGCAACTGCCCCTCTGATTCACCCACATTATTCAAAGTCTCCTCTGAGGAGCTCCTGTCACATACCTCAGGCCCATAGTCAGCCCTGGACATGTCAAATATCTCGGAGGACACGTCCTCTGTCCGGGACTCATCCGGGTCATCCTGGCTCTCGGCGTCGTCGGTCGCGTTGTTGGCCGCGACTTGAGCCTGAGTCACACTCGTGATCTGAAAGCAACTCTTCTTCTTAGCCGGCATCTTAGACATGCTTAACAGCTTTCAATGACACCAAGACAACTTAAAGACGCTGCTCACTTCACAAAACAGCAAATTGTTGCGGCACCGGACCCCAAATTTCACAGTTTTCCGCGACGGTCGTGCGTTATCCGTCTTCCTCTTCTCTCCGGTTGCATTTTCGACGCGTGAACAGCGGACGAGAACAACCTCCGCGAGCGGTGTGTGCGAGATGTCGGTTATTAATGTATCCTCATATGCTGGTGATCAGAGCTCGGTAAGGCCTGTCGTAGACCCGGCTGCGTTCACTCCCCCTGCTGCCTCTCGCTTCTCTAACGCTTCCTACATATAAGTATCAAACACATCCTGAACGAGCGCTGAGAAACACCGCCTAAGACGTCTCGACACCCGGCGACTAGATTCGGGCGTACTAACAAAACAACTACGAAAACGGTTTGACATTAAAGTTTATAACCAACTAACTCGCAGACTTCGGTAACAGAAAATCTAAAAATTTCACCTCCCGACAAGATGGCTATATAAATTCGCGATGCATGCTGGGAAACGAGCGTGACAGGGATGGTGAATACGCTTACTACGCTCAAACTAGTGCAGCGGCGCAAGTACACTGACCCTTTTATTTTCAACATGCTTTCCGCCTAACGTCAAAACTATTTTTTTATTCACTTTTAACGTAAATACTAGTCAGAGTAAGTTTATTTCCGAAAATCTGTTTCAGTCTTGTCTACAAAAGAAAGAAAAAAAACATTTAAAGGTTTCCACTATTATTGCCCACATAAAAATAATAATAAATGTAACTATATGGGGCAAGTTAAATCACTGTGCGAACCTGCCATTAGATACATTATTTAGTAAAACAATTTTGTTACCTTTTTGTATGTTACCTTTTTTTTTTAATCTCTATCTATCTATCTATCTATCTATCTATCTATCTAT